ACCACTCACCAGTACCACTCACCACTCACCAGTACCACTCAACACTAACCAGCACCACTCAACACTCACCAGTACCACTCAACACTCACCATTACCACTCACCACTCACCAGTACCACTCACCAGTACCACTCACCACTCACCAGTACCACTCAACACTCACCAGTACCACTCAACACTCACCAGTACCACTCAACACTCACCAGTACCACTCAACACTCACAAGCACCACTCACCACACACCAGTACCACTCAACACTCACCAGTACCACTCAACACTCACCAGTACCACTCAACACTCACCAGTACCACTCACCACTCACCAGTACCACTCACCACTCACCAGTACCACTCAACACTCACCAGTACCACTCAACACTCACCAGTACCACTCACCAGTACCACTCAACACTCACCAGTACCACTCAACACTCACCAGTACCACTCAACACTCACCAGTACCACTCAACACTCACCAGTACCACTCAACACTCACCAGTACCACTCAACACTCACCAGTACCACTCAACACTCACCAGTACCACTCACCACTCACCAGTACCACTCACCACTCACCAGTACCACTCAACACTCACCAGTACCACTCACCAGTACCACTCACCAGTACCACTCACCAGTACCACTCACCAGTACCACTCACCACTCACCAGTACCACTCAACACTCACCAGTACCACTCAACACTCACCAGTACCACTCAACACTCACCAGTACCACTCAACACTCACCAGTACCACTCAACACTCACCAGTACCACTCAACACCCACCAGTATCACTCACCAGTACCACTCAACACTCACCAGTACCACTCAACACTCACCAGTACCAATCAACACTCACCAGTACCACTCAACACTCACCAGTACCATTCACCACTCACCAGTGCCACTCAACACTCACCAGTACCACTCACCACTACCACTCACCACTCACCAGTACCACTCACCAGTACCACTCACCAGTACCACTCACCAGTACCACTCACCAGTACCATTCAACACTCACCAGTACCACTCACCACTCACCAGTACCACTCACCAGTAACACTCAACACTCACCAGTACCACTCAACACTCACCAGTACCACTCACCACTCACCAGTACCACTCAACACTCACCAGTACCACTCAACACTCACCAGTACCACTCACCACTCACCAGTACCACTCAACACTCACCAGTACCACTCAACACTCACCAGTACCACTCAACACTCACCAGTACCATTCAACACTCACCAGTACCACTCACCACTCACCAGTACCACTCACCAGTACCACTCAACACTCACCAGTACCACTCAACACTCACCAGTACCACTCACCACTCACCAGTACCACTCAACACTCACCAGTACCACTCAACACTCACCAGTACCACTCAACACTCACCAGTACCACTCACCACTCACCAGTATCACTCACCAGTACCACTCAACACTCACCAGTACCACACAACACTCACCAGTACCACTCACCACTCACCAGTACCACTCAACACTCACCAGCACCACTCAACACTCACCAGTACCACTCAACACTCACCAGTATCACTCACCAGTACCACTCAGCACTCACCAGTACCACTCAACACTCACCAGTACCACTCAACACTCACCAGTACCACTCAACACTCACCAGTACCACTCAACACTCACCAGTACCACTCAACACTCACCAGTACCACTCACCACTCACCAGTATCACTCACCAGTACCACTCAACACTCACCAGTACCACTCACCACTCACCAGTACCACTCAACACTCACCAGTACCACTCAACACTCACCAGTACCACTCACCACTCACCAGTACCACTCAACACTCACCAGTACCACTCACCACTCACCAGTACCACTCAACACTCACCAGTACCACTCAACACTCACCAGTACCACTCACCAGTATCACTCACCAGTACCACTCAGCACTCACCAGTACCACTCAACACTCACCAGTACCACTCAACACTCACCAGTACCACTCAACACTCACCAGTACCACTCAGCACTCACCAGTACCACTCACCACTCACCAGTACCACTCAACACTCACCAGTACCACTCACCACTCACCAGTACCACTCAACACTCACCAGTACCACTCAACTCTCACCAGTACCACTCAACACTCACCAGTACCACTCAACACTCACCAGTACCACTCACCAGTACCACGCACCAGTACCACTCAACACTCACCAGTACCACTCAACACTCACCAGTACCACTCACCACACACCAGTAACACTCAACACTCACCAGTACCACTCACCACTCACCAGTACCACTCAACACTCACCAGTACCACTCACCACTCACCAGTACCACTCACCACTCACCAGTACCACTCACCACTCACCAGTACCACTCACCACTCACCAGTACCACTCACCACTCACCAGTACCACTCACCACTCACCAGTACCACTCAACACTCACCAGTACCACTCACCACTCACCAGTACCACTCACCACTCACCAGTACCACTCACCACTCACCAGTAACACTCACCACTCACCAGTACCACTCACCACTCACCAGTACCACTCACCACTCACCAGTACCACTCACCACTCACCAGTACCACTCAACACTCACCAGTACCACTCAACACTCACCAGTACCACTCACCACACACCAGTAACACTCAACACTCACCAGTACCACTCACCACTCACCAGTACCACTCAACACTCACCAGTACCACTCACCACTCACCAGTACCACTCACCACTCACCAGTACCACTCACCACTCACCAGTACCACTCACCACTCACCAGTACCACTCACCACTCACCAGTACCACTCAACACTCACCAGTACCACTCACCACTCACCAGTACCACTCACCACTCACCAGTACCACTCACCACTCACCAGTAACACTCACCACTCACCAGTACCACTCACCACTCACCAGTACCACTCAACACTCACCAGTACCACTCACCAGTACCACTCACCAGTACCACTCAACACTCACCAGTACCACTCAACACTCACCAGTACCACTCACCACACACCAGTAACACTCAACACTCACCAGCACCACTCACCACACACCAGTACCACTCACCACTCACCAGTACCACTCAACACTCACCAGTACCACTCAGCACTCACCAGTACCACTCAACACTCACCAGTACCACTCAACACTCACCAGTACCACTCAACACTCACCAGTACCACTCAACACTCACCAGTACCACTCAACACTCACCAGTACCACTCAACACTCACCAGTACCACTCAACACTCACCAGTACCACTCACCACTCACCAGTACCACTCAACACTCACCAGTACCACTCAACACTCACCATTACCACTCAACACTCACCAGTACCACTCACCATTACCACTCACCACTCACCAGTACCACTCAACACTCACCAGTACCACTCACCATTACCACTCACCACTCACCAGTACCACTCAACACTCACCTGTACCACTCAACACTCACCAGTACCTCTCAACACTCACCAGTACCAGTCAACACTCACCAGTACCACTCAACACTCACCAGTACCACTCACCAGTACCACTCAACACTCACCAGTACCACTCAACACTCACCAGCACCACTCACCACACACCAGTACCACTCCCCACACACCAGTACCACTCACCAGTACCACTCAACACTCACCAGTACCACTCACCACACACCAGTACCACTCAACACTCACCAGTACCACTCAACACTCACCAGCACCACTCACCACACACCAGTACCACTCAACACTCACCAGTACCACTCAACACTCACCAGTACCACTCAACACTCACCAGTACCACTCACCACTCACCAGTACCACTCAACACACACCAGTACCACTCACCAGTACCACTCTACACTCACCAGTACCACTCAACACACACCAGTACCACTCAACACTCACCAGTACCACTCAACACTCACCAGTACCACTCACCACTCACCAGTACCACTCACCACTCACCAGTACCACTCACCACTCACCAGTACCACTCACCACACACCAGAAGTCCCAAAACGCTTCCACTGCCGCCAAAAAATCACAAGTTTGCCTTAAACTAACAATAATTCAGCCTCTTGGGGGCCCTACTGTGGCTTGAGGGCCCTGTGGCTTGGGGGCCCGGTCCCCCGAGGGCCCCTAACCTCGTTACATGGGTTAACACCCACGCCGTCGTCCCATTTAGCGAGGGTGGCACCCATGTTGGCTAGCGCCTCGGGCGATCAACAGATGCTTAAAGTAATCCTAGCACTAAGCTTAGATGCCATGAAACAATAGAGCCAGATGGAGCTGAAGGCCCAGTTGCCTGCTGCAGTGCCCAGTGGTGCCTGGTGTTTTAAGCGGCCTGCGGGTGTTGGAGGGTGTTTGAGTGCAGTGCCCAGTGGTGGCTGGTGTTTTAAGCGGCCTGCGGGTGTTGGAGGGTGTTTGAGTGCAGTGCCCAGTGGTGGCTGTTGTTTTAAGCGGCCTGCGGGTGTTGGAGGGTGTTTAAGTGCTGTGGCCGCTGGTGCTAAGTGTCCTGCGGGTGTTGGCGGGTGTTTAAGTGCTGTGGCTGCTGGTGCTAAGCGTCCTACAGGTGTTGGAGGGTGTTTAAGTGCTGTGGCCGCTGGTGCTAAGCGTCCTACGGTCGCTAGCGGGTGTTTAAGTGCTGTGGCCGCTGGTGCTAAGCGTCCTACAGGTGTTGGAGGGTGTTTAAGTGCTGTGGCCGCTGGTGCTAAGCCCCCTGCGGTCGCTAGCGTGCCATTAAGCGCACTGCGGCCCCCAGACTTGCATTCAGTGCACTACGACCCGCAGCCAGACACCGCAACTCTTCAAGCCGGTCTTCCATAACCATGTTCCACAACAGTAATGTCGCGTAGGTTAACCTTTGACCCATTAACATAAGTGACACACCTGATATCTTCAACACATACACAGAGGTCCCCCCGCAGGGCGAAGACGCTAACATCGATGTCTCTCCCTCTCTCACCCTTCAGGACACGCCCTCGGGTGCGATTGCGAGGTCTGCTCGACAGACTTCCCCCTACGAACTCACCTCCTCATCGACATGTCGTACTCCCGCCTCAATCAGGACCAGACTTCGAAGTCCAGCACCACTTCGAGGTTCAGTTTCTTCACGCGGAAGAAGACGCCGAATTACACCGCGGCTGACCACACCGCTGCGACCCTGGCCCTCCTGCAGGAGCAGCGGCGCCAGAGTGCTGCCAGGGTTAGTACTGGTGTGTCAGGGGTCAGTACTGGTGTGTCAGGGTCAGTACTGGTGTGTCAGGGTCAGTACTGGTGTGTCAGGGTCAGTACTGGTGTGTCAGGGTCAGTACTGGTGTGTCAGGGTCAGTACTGGTGTGTCAGGGTCAGTACTGGTGTGCCAGGGTCAGTACTGGTGTGTCAGGGTCAGTACTGGTGTGTCAGGGTCAGTACTGGTGTGTCAGGGTCAGTACTGGTGTGTCAGGGTCAGTACTGGGGTGCCAGGGTCAGTACTGGTGTGTCAGGGTCAGTACTGGTGTGTCAGGGTCAGTACTGGTGTGTCAGGGTCAGCACTGGTGTGTCAGGGGTCAGTACTGGTGTGTCAGGGTCAGTACTGGTGTGTCAGAGTCAGTACTGGGGTGTCAGGGGTCAGTACTGGTGTGTCAGGGTCAGTACTGGTGTGTCAGGGTCAGTACTGGTGTGTCAGGGTCAGTACTGGTGTGTCAGGGTCAGTACTGGTGTGTCAGGGTCAGTACTGGTGTGTCAGGGTCAGTACTGGTGTGCCAGGGTCAGTACTGGTGTGCCAGGGTCAGTACTGGTGTGCCAGGGTCAGTACTGGTGTGTCAGGGGTTAGTACTGGGGTGTCAGGGTCAGTACTGGTGTGTCAGGGTGAGTACTGGTGTGTCAGGGTCAGTACTAGGGTGCCAGGGTCAGTACTGGTGTGTCAGGGGCAAGTACTGGTGTGCCAGGGTCAGTACTGGGGTGTCAGGGGTCAGTACTGGGGTGTCAGGGGTCAGTACTAGGGTGTCAGGGTCAGTACTGGTGTGCCAGGGTCAGTACTGGTGTGTCAGGGTCAGTACTGGTGTGTCAGGGGTCAGTACTGGTGTGTCAGGGTCAGTACTGGTGTGTCAGGGTCAGTACTGGTGTGTCAGGGTCAGTACTGGTGCGTCAGGGGTCAGTACTGGTGTGTCAGGGTCAGTACTAGTGTGTCAGGGGTCAGTACTGGTGTGTCAGGGGTCAGTACTGGTGTGTCAGGGGTCAGTACTGGTGTGTCAGGGGTCAGTACTGGTGTGTCAGGGTCAGTACTGGTGTGTCAGGGTCAGTACTGGTGTGTCAGGGTCAGTACTAGTGCGTCAGGGGTCAGTACTGGTGTGTCAGGGATCAGTACTAGTGTGTCAGGGGTCAGTACTGGTGTGTCAGGGGTCAGTACTGGTGTGTCAGGGGTCAGTACTGGTGTGTCAGGGGTCAGTACTAGTGTGTCAGGGGTCAGTACTGGTGTGTCAGGGGTCAGTACTGGTGTGTCAGGGTCAGTACTGGTGTGCCAGGGTCAGTACTGGTGTGTCAGGGGTCAGTACAGGTGTGTCAGGGGTCAGTACTGGTGTGTCAGGGGTCAGTACTGGTGTGTCAGGGTCAGTACTGGTGTGTCAGGGTCAGTACTGGTGTGTCAGGGGTCAGTACTGGTGTGTCAGGGTCAGTACTGGTGTGTCAGGGTCAGTACTGGTGTGTCAGGGGTCAGTACTGGTGTGTCAGGTTCAGTACTGGTGTGTCAGGGGTCAGTACTGGTGTGTCAGGGTCAGTACTGGTGTGTCAGGGTCAGTACTGGTGTGTCAGGGGGTCAGTACTGGTGTGTCAGGGTCAGTACTGGTTTGTCAGGGGTCAGTACTGGTGTGTCAGGGGTCAGTACTGGTGTGTCAGGGTCAGCACTGGTGTGTCAGGGGTCAGTACTGGTGTGTCAGGGTCAGTACTGGTGTGTCAGGGTCAGCACTGGTGTGTCAGGGGTCAGTACTGGTGTGTCAGGGTCAGTACTGGTGTGTCAGGGGTCAGTACTGGTGTGTCAGGGGTCAATACTGGTGTGTCAGGGTCAGCACTGGTGTGTCAGGGGTCAGTACTGGTGTGTCAGGGTCAGTACTGGTGTGTCAGGGTCAGCACTGGTGTGTCAGGGGTCAGTATTGGTGTGTCAGGGGTCAGTACTGGTGTGCCAGGGTCAGTACCGGTGTGTCAGGGGTCAGTACTGGTGTGTCAGGGGTCAGTACTGGTGTGTCAGGGATCAGTACTGGTGTGTCAGGGGGTCAGTACTGGTGTGTCAGGGGTCAGTACTGGTGTGTCAGGGTCAGTACTGGTGTGTCAGGGTCAGTACTGGTGTGTCGGGGTCAGCACTGGTGTGTCAGGGGTCAGTACTGGTGTGTCAGGGGTCAGTACTGGTGTGCCAGGGTCAGTACCGGTGTGTCAGGGGTCAGTACTGGTGTGTCAGGGGTCAGTACTGGTGTGTCAGGGATCAGTACTGGTGTGTCAGGGGTCAGTACTGGTGTGTCAGGGGTCAGTACTGGTGTGTCAGGGTCAGTACTGGTGTGTCAGGGGTCAGTACTGGTGTGTCAGGTTCAGTACTGGTGTGTCAGGGGTCAGTACTGGTGTGTCAGGGATCAGTACTGGTGTGTCAGGGTCAGTACTGGTGTGTCAGGGGTCAGTACTGGTGTGTCAGGGTCAGTACTGGTGTGCCAGGGTCAGTACTTGTGTGCCAGGGTCAGTACTGGTGTGTCAGGGTCAGTACTGGTGTGCCAGGGTCAGTACTGGTGTGCCAGGGTCAGTACTGGTGTGCCAGGGGGTTAGTACTGGGGTGTCAGGGTCAGTACTGGTGTGCCAGGGTCAGTACTAGGGTGCCAGGGTCAGTACTGGTGTGTCAGGGGTCAGTACTGGTGTGTCAGGGTCAGTACTGGGGTGTCAGGGGTCAGTACTAGGGTGTCAGGGTCAGTACTGGTGTGCCAGGGTCAGTACTGGTGTGTCAGGGTCAGTACTGGTGTGTCAGGGGTCAGTACTGGTGTGTCAGGGTCAGTACTGGTGTGTCAGGGTCAGCACTGTTGTGTCAGGGGTCAGTACTGGTGTGTCAGGGGTCAGTACTGGTGTGTCAGGGTCAGTACTGGTGTGTCAGGGTCAGTACTGGTGTGTCAGGGGTCAGTACTGGTGTGTCAGGGGTCAGTACTGGTGTGTCAGGGTCAGTACTGGTGTGTCAGGGTCAGTACTGGTGTGTCAGGGGTCAGTACTGGTGTGTCAGGGGTCAGTACTGGGGTGTCAGGGTCAGTACTGGTGTGTCAGGGTCAGTACTGGTGTGTCAGGGTCAGTACTGGTGTGTCAGGGTCAATACTGGTGTGTCAGGGGTCAGTACTTGTGTGTCAGGGTCAGTACTAGGGTGTCAGGGGTCAGTACTGGTGTGCCAGGGTCAGTACTGGTGTGTCAGAGTCAGTACTGGTGTGTCAGGGGTCAGTACTGGTGTGTCAGGGTCAGTACTGGTGTGTCAGGGTCAGTACTGGTGTGTCAGGGTCAGTACTGGTGTGTCAGGGTCAGTACTGGTGTGTCAAGGTCAGTACTGGTGTGTCAGGGTCAGTACTGGTGTGTCAGGGTCAGTACTGATGTGTTAGGGTCAGTACTGGTGTGTTAGGGTCAGTACTGGTGTGTCAGGGGTCAGTACTGGTGTGTCAGGGGTCAGTACTGGTGTGTCAGGGTCAGTACTGGTGTGTCAGGGTCAGTACTGGTGTGTCAGGGTCAGTACTGGTGTGCCAGGAGTCAGTACTGGTGTGTCAGGGTCAGTACTGGTGTGTCAGGGGTCAGTACTGGTGTGTCAGAGTCAGTACTTTTGTGTCAGGGTCAGTACTGGTGTGTCACGGTCAGTACTGGTGTGTCAGGGTCAGTACTGGTGTGTCAGGGTCAGTACTGGTGTGTCAGGGTCAGTACTGGTGTGTCAGAGTCAGTACTGGTGTGTCAGGGTCAGTACTGGTGTGTCAGGGTCAGTACTGGTGTGTCAGGGGTCAGTACTGGGGTGTCAGGGTCAGTACTGGTGTGCCAGAGTCAGTACTGGTGTGCCAAAGTCAGTACTGGTGTGTCAGGGTCAGTACTGGTGTGTCAGGGGTCAGTACTGGGGTGTCAGGGTCAGTACTGGTGTGTCAGGGTTAGTACTGGTGTGTCAGGGGTCAGTACGTACTGGTGTGCCAGAGTCAGTACTGGTGTGTCAGAGTCAGTACTGGTGTGTCAGGGTCAGTACTGGTGTGTCTGGGGTCAGTACTGGTGTGTCAGGGGTCAGTACTGGTGTGTTAGGGTCAGTACTGGTGTGTCAGGGGTCAGTACTGGGGTGTCAGGGTCAGTACTGGTGTGTCAGGGTCAGTACTGGTGTGTCAGGGGTCAGTACTGGTGTGTTAGGGTCAGTACTGGGGTGCCAGGGTCAGTACTGGTGTGCCAGGGTCAGTACTTTTGTGTCAGGGTCAGTACTGGTGTGTCAGGGGTCAGTACTGGTGTGTCAGGGTCAGTACTGGTGTGTCAGGGTCAGTACTGGTGTGTCAGGGTCAGTATTGGTGTGTCAGGGTCAGTACTGGTGTGTCAGGGGTCAGTATTGGTGTGTCAGGGTCAGTACTGGTGTGTCAGGGTCAGTACTGGTGTGTCAGGGTCAGTACTGGTGTGTCAGGGTCAGTACTGGTGTGTCAGGGGTCAGTACTGGTGTGTCAGGGTCAGTACTGGTGTGTCAGGGTCAGTACTGGTGTGTCAGGGGTCAGTACTGGTGTGTCAGGGTCAGTACTGGTGTGTCAGGGTCAGTACTGGTGTGTCAGGCGTCAGTACTGGTGTGTCAGGGTCAGTACTGGTGTGTCAGGGTCAGTACTGGTGTGCCAGAGTCAGTACTGGTGTGTCAGGGTCAGTACTGGTGTGTCAGGGTCAGTACTGGTGTGTCAGGGTCAGTACTGGTGTGTCAGGGTCAGTACTGGTGTGTCAAGGTCAGTACTGGTGTGTCAGGGTCAGTACTGGTGTGTCAGGGTCAGTACTGGTGTGTCAGGGGTCAGTACTGGTGTGTCAGGGTCAGTACTGGTGTGCCAGAGTCAGTACTGGGGTGTCAGGGTCAGTACTGGTGTGCCAGAGTCAGTACTGGTGTGTCAGGGTCAGTACTGGTGTGTCAGGGTCAGTACTGGTGTGTCAGGGGTCAGTACTGGTGTGTCAGGGTCAGTACTGGTGTGTCAGGGTCAGTACTGGTGTGCCAGGGTCAGTACTGGTGTGTCAGAGTCAGTACTGGGGTGTCAGGGTCAGTACTGGTGTGCCAGAGTCAGTACTGGTGTGTCAGGGTCAGTACTGGTGTGTCAGGGTCAGTACTGGTGTGTCAGGGGTCAGTACTGGTGTGTCAGGGTCAGTACTGGTGTGTCAGGGTCAGTACTGGTGTGTCAGGGTCAGTACTGGTGTGTCAGGGGTCAGTACTGGTGTGTCAGGGTCAGTACTGGTGTGTCAGGGTCAGTACTGGTGTGCCAGGGTCAGTACTGGTGTGTCAGAGTCAGTACTGGTGTGTCAGGGGTCAGTACTGGTGTGTCAGGGGTCAGTACTGGTGTGTCAGGGTCAGTACTGGTGTGTCAGGGTCAGTACTGGTGTGTCAGGGTCAGTACTGGTGTGTCAGGGGTCAGTACTGGTGTGTCAGGGTCAGTACTGGTGTGTCAGGATCAGTACTGGTGTGTCAGGGTCAGTACTGGTGTGTCAGGGTCAGTACTGGTGTGTCAGGGGTCAGTACTGGTGTGTCAGGGTTTGTACTGGTGTGCCAGGGGTCAGTACTGGTGTGTCAGGGTTAGTACTGGTGTGTCAGGGTCAGTACTGGTGTGTCAGGGTCAGTACTGGTGTGTCAGGGTCAGTACTGGTGTGTCAGGGGTCAGTACTGGGGTGTCAGGGTCAGCACTGGTGTGTCAGGGTCAGTACTGGTGTGTCAGGGTCAGTACTGGTGTGTCAGGGGTCAGTACTGGGGTGTCAGGGGTCAGTACTAGGGTGTCAGGGTCAGTACTGGTGTGCCAGGGTCAGTACTGGTGTGTCAGGATCAGTACTGGTGTGTCAGGGTCAGTACTGGTGTGTCAGGGGTCAGTACTGGTGTGTCAGGAGTCAGTACTGGTGTGCCAGAGTCAGTACTGGTGTGTCAGGGTCAGTACTGGTGTGTCAGGGTCAGTACTGGTGTATCAGGGGTCAGTACTGGTGTGTCAGGGTCAGTACTGGTGTGTCAGGGGTCAGTACTGGCGTGTCTGGGTCAGTACTGGGGTGCCAGGGTCAGTACTGGTGTGCCAGGGTCAGTACTAGTGTGTCAGGGGGTCAGTACTGGGGTGCCAGGAGTCAGTACTGGTGTGTCAGGGGTCAGTACTGGAGTGCCAGGGGTCAGTACTGGTGTGCCAGGGGTCAGTACTGGTGTGCCAGGGGTCAGTACTGGGGTGCCAGGGGTCAGTACTGGGGTGTCAGGGGTCAGTACTGGTGTGCCAGGGGTCAGTACTGGTGTGTCAGAGTCAGTACTGGTGTGTCAGGGTCAGTACTGGTGTGTCAGAGTCAGTACTGGTGTGTCAGGGTCAGTACTGGTGTGTCAGAGTCAGTACTAGGGTGCCAGGGTCAGTACTGGTGTGCCAGGGGTCAGTACTGGGGTGCCAGGGGTCAGTACTGGGGTGTCAGGGGTCAGTACTGGTGTGCCAGGGGTCAGTACTGGTGTGTCAGGGTCAGTACTGGTGTGTCAGGGGTCAGTACTGGTGTGCCAGGGGTCAGTACTGGTGTGTCAGGGGTCAGTACTGGTGTGTCAAGGTCAGTACTGGTGTGTCAGGGGTCAGTACTGGTGTGTCAGGGTCAGTACTGGTGTGTCAGGGGTCAGTACTGGTGTGTCAGGGGTCAGTACTGGTGTGTCAGGGGTCAGTACTGGGGTGTCAGTACTGGTGTGTCAGGGGTCAGTACTGTTGTGTCAGGGGTCAGTACTGGTGTGTCAGGGGTCAGTACTGGTGTGTCAGGGGTCAGTACTGGTGTGTCAGGGTCAGTACTGGTGTGTCAGGGGTCAGTACTGGTGTGTCAGGGGTCAGTACTGGTGTGTCAGGGGTCAGTACTGTTGTGTCAGGGGTCAGTACTGGTGTGCCAGGGGTCAGTACTGGTGTGTCAGGGGTCAGTACTGTTGTGTCAGGGGTCAGTACTGGTGTGTCAGGGGTCAGTACTGGTGTGTCAGGGTCAGTACTGTTGTGTCAGGGGTCAGTACTGGTGTGTCAGGGGTCAGTACTGGGGTGTCAGTACTGTTGTGTCAGGGGTCAGTACTGGTGTGTCAGGGGTCAGTACTGGTGTGTCAGGGGTCAGTACTGGTGTGTCAGGGGTCAGTACTGGGGTGTCAGTACTGTTGTGTCAGGGGTCAGTACTGGTGTGTCAGGGGTCAGTACTGGTGTGTCAGGGTCAGTACTGGTGTGTCAGGGGTCAGTACTGGTGTGTCAGGGGTCAGTACTGGTGTGTCAGGGGTCAGTACTGGTGTGTCAGGGTCAGTACTGGTGTGTCAGGGTCAGTACTGGTGTGTCAGGTTCAGTACTGGTGTGTCAGGGGTCAGTACTGGTGTGCCAGGGGTCAGTACTGGAGTGTCAGGGTCAGTACTGGTGTGTCAGGGGTCAGTACTGGGGTGCCAGGGCTCACCACAGGGGCTCAATAAGGATGACACACACTAATGACTGTGCAGCTAAATTGGCACAGTCTCCCTAAACTAGACTTGGCACAGGTGCCAGTAGGCACTGGCACCTGCCCTGACACCCTTGGAGGAGGCACGAAAACATATCCAGGTTGCATGTTGCATGATCAACACGCAACCTGGCCTCTGACCAAGTCCATTCCATCCAGCGGTCGACCCCAAAGATGCATTCATCGATATTAACTTGCTATTCATTCAAAATTGGATTTTTTTCAAATATAAATTAATATTGTTATATATTAGCATATTATTGCATATTTAGGCACTGGTTTGGTTAGGTGTTTAGGTTCTGTTGGCGATTATATGTGCTTGTAGTACGTGGGTGAAGCATTTACAGCGTTGGGGTTCGAACACCAGTCGTCAGTGAAGCACTTGTTCCGGAAGTGTTCGAACGAAATCAGCTGTGAGTCGTGTGTAAACAGGTTTTCATTCATAAACAGCTGTGGGGGGGTTGGCGGCTGGATGGAATGGACTTTGTTTATGAGAACGGGCTGTTTACAGCGTTAGTAAGTGGTGTAACACTTCACTTTTCTCTATCCTCACCGCTATGCTACTTGCACTGACCTGAATTTACCTCTGAAATAGGATAATAATGCATTTTAAAACTAAACATAACTTGAGCATTCGGCTCAAGAGAACAGTGCCAAAACGGTTAAGACACCCGAGGAATCAGCGCGTGCAAAAAGGTGATATTTCAGGCAGCAGCCAAGATTGTTTTGGACTGAAAATAGAACTGTCTAACCTATCCCAACTTATCCTTACCTATCCTAGCATTGTACGACTTAGTCTAACTTAACCTCACTTAACGTGGCATAGATCTAAGCTAAAGATAATTCTAATTCTAATCTAAAGATAGATTAGAACGTGATCTAATCTAATTTAACATAACCTAACCTAACCAAAATGGTGAATTTAAAACAGCTGGCGGTACTCAGCCTCTGACTGTTGAGAGGCGGGACCAAAGAGGCGAAGCTCAACCCCCGCAAGCACAACTAGGAGAGAGAGGGAACTATCAGAACAAAGCACCAAGCCACCACGACTATATACCACTAGGAAGGAGTCAGGATAAGGATTTGGGATGGGACGGAGGGAAAGGAATGGTGCCCAATCACTTTATGGAACGTCGGGGATTGAACCCGGACCTACAGGAAGCGAGACCATCGCTCTACCGTCCACCCCAAGTGGCTGGGATACAACTAGGTGAATACAATCTTATACAATCGTCGATAAATATAATGTATTTCACCTACAATGTTTACATATGTGACAATTCGTACACACGTGACAGATGGGACAATATGTACACAACTATATTATATTTGTACAATATATATATACAAATAATTAGCCTGGTCACAGTTAAATCTACATGCATACAAGATTAGTTCTTCCTTGAGGTAATACTAAATACTAAGCGCTGAGGGCATGGAGTTGACCGACATATTTGTCAGTTGATTGACATAATTGACATGTATAACATTCGCTACCTGGAACATAAAGTTTCAAATAGCACGGGATAAGGTGATCCCGTAGTAATTTGACCTAATTGACAGTTGTCTGTCATATATGTTCTTCTTGTCTGCGGTCTCGTGAAGCAAGGCATCTGGGAGCAAGAAGGGCATAATCAAAACATTTGCCAAATCCTAATATTTTAGCAAATTAATTACTAGATCCTTAAGTTTTTTTTTATGTTTTAACCTAATTCAAACCTGTTTTATGTTGCTTTAAAATATATACAAAAGTTGGAAGAAAACGTACAAAATATATTTAAAATTGTTTATTTGTCGAATATTACTATAATGTGATGATTGCTATTTTTATAGCATATTTTTGTCTGAAATGATTTTTTTAATAAAATATACTGTATATATATATTATATACATGCATTTATAGTCATGTAAATTACTTAACTTTTTTTGTTATCTTATATTATGGATTGTTGAGCTTGAAAGGTTTTGGGATGGGACGGCGGAAAGGAATGGTGCCCAAGGACTTGTTGAGACGGTCGGGGATTGAACGCCGACTTGCATGGCGCCAGTTGCTACAAATATTTCTTCCTTTCCCGACGCAGGCGCAGCAGCAGGCGGAGGCGGACGCCGTAGAAATGGCCGGCGGTTCCCAGGACCCCGTGACGCTGAGCAGCTTGAAGCAGGACTCTCTGATGATCCCTGTGGCGCGCATGGCTCACTTCTTCCCTGCGGGTCACCCTGTGCGTGTGACGCTGCCTCATACACGCTAACTCACACTAACTTCTTCCCTGCGGGTCACCCTGTGCGTGTGACGCTGCCTCATACACGCTAACTCACACTAACTTCTTCCCTGCGGGTCACCCTGTGCGTGTGACGCTGCCTCATACACGCTAACTCACACTAACTTCTTCCCTGCGGGTCACCCTGTGCGTGTGACGCTGCCTCATACACGCTAACTCACACTAACTTCTTCCCTGCGGGTCACCCTGTGCGTGTGACGCTGCCTCATACACGCTAACTCACACTAACTTCTTCCCTGCGGGTCACCCTGTGCGTGTGATGCTGCCTCATACACGCTAACTCACACTAACTTCTTCCCTGCGGGTCACCCTGTGCGTGTGACGCTGCCTCATACACGCTAACTCACACTAACTTCTTCCCTGTGGGTCACCCTGTGCGTGTGATGCTGCCTCATACACGCTAACTCACACTAACTTCTTCCCTGCGGGTCACCCTGTGTTGCTTATAGTCAATATCTTGCTTATGAATAAATGCATATGTGACATACTAATTTATTGTGAATATTTGAGTTTACCTTAAAATGCTGAATAGAAAACCACAACCTAACCTAACCTTCTTAGTATGTTAAGATATTACAATTAGTACTGAACCTATTCCTATATTGATATTACAGTTTTATAAAAATAATAAAACAAAACTAAAATATTTAAATAAATTGTAAAGTAACTCAGGATATTGTCAAATTTTGTATAAAATCTCTATTGTTTAATAAAACTGAGAGAAAAAGTTAGTGCCTTGAAAAAAAATTTGGCTCAGAATATGTTACATATTTACTTATTTATAAGCAAAATAGTGACTATAAGCAATACACTAAAACTCATTGCTAACTCTCTCAAGGGGCCTGACGGGTGAGTGATCAGCGCTCGGTATTCGTAGTCCTAGATTCCGGGGGATCGATCCCCGGCGATGGCGGAAACAAATGGGCACAGTTTCTTTTCCCCCTTATGCAGCTGTTCACCTAGCAGTAAATAGGTACCTGGGAGTTAGACAGCTGCTTCCTGGGGATGTGTGTGACTTATTATAGTGTTAATAAACCCTAACCTAACCATTATAGGCTAATGCAGAGGGCTCCTGTGCCAGGTAAGTTACGGGCTCACCATAGCCCGTGCTACTTGGAACTTGTTCCGAGTAGGTGAATCTATAACAACAACATCCTCCTTCTCCAGCAGATCCCAACAGCTTCGACCCAGGGGCGTCTGCGGCTGTTGGAGGTGCCCGAGCAGCAGTACCATGTTGTCTTCCATATGATGGGGCACGCTGTTCACGTCACCCCCGCCCTCTGCTCCCCTCTCCACGACCTCTACCTCCACCACCGGGACCATATTGTTAAGGTGGGGCCTGGGGCTAGTCCCCCCTACACCTCCACCACCGGGGACCATATTGTTAAGGTGGGGGCTGGGGCTAGTCCCCCCTACACCTCCACCACCGGGGACCATATTGTTAAGGTGGGGCCTGGGGCTAGTCCCCCCTACACCTCCACCACCGGGACCATATTGTTAAGGTGGGGCCTGGGGCTAGTCCCCCCTACACCTCCACCACCGGGGACCATATTGTTAAGGTGGGGCCTGGGGCTAGTCCCCCCTACACCTCCACCACCGGGGACCATATTGTTAAGGTGGGGGCTGGGGCTAGTCCCCCCTACACCTCCACCACCGGGGACCATATTGTTAAGGTGGGGCCTGGGGCTAGTCCCCCCTACACCTCCACCACCGGGGACCATATTGTTAAGGTGGGGCCTGGGGCTAGTCCCCCCTACACCTCCACCACCGGGGACCATATTGTTAAGGTGGGGGCTGGGGCTAGTCCCCCCTACACCTCCACCATCGGGACCATATTGTTAAGGTGGGGGCTGGGGCTAGTCCCCCCTACACCTCCACCACCGGGGACCATATTGTTAAGGTGGGGGCTGGGGCTAGTCCCCCCTACACCTCCACCACCGGGACCATATTGTTAAGGTGGGGCCTGGGGCTAGTCCCCCCTACACCTCCACCACCGGGGACCATATTGTTAAGGTGGGGCCTGGGGCTAGTCCCCCCTACACCTCCACCACCGGGGACCATATTGTTAAGGTGGGGGCTGGGGCTAGTCCCCCTACACCTCCACCACCACTGTTTGGGGGGGGGGGAGTAAAGAGGAAGGAGAGGTATAGGTGAAGGGAAGTATAGAAGTGGGAAATACAGTGAGAGGTATGAGAGCAGGCGGGCTGTCCGCCTTGCTGACACGATGTGTGGGTGTTGGCAGCTAAGCTAAGCTGGCTCCCTCTTGTCAGGGAGCTGTGAGTGTGTGAGAGGTTCTTCACATGTGTTTCACCATATATGGATGTCTATAGATGAATACTGTGTAGCATTCATATATATACACACTCCTATGCTTCCACACACTCACACTCACTTGTCAGGGAGCTGTGAATGTGTGAGAGGTTCTTCACATGTGTTTCACCATATATGGATGTCTATAGATGAATACTGTGTAGCATTCATACATACACTCCTATGCTTCCACACATGTTATTCTGTTTAAGGCTCTTTATTTTATTATTGTAGTGTGTAGTGGTACTGGGGGATACTCTAGATGCGGCCGAACTGGAGCCTTATATAAGTGGATCTGATTGTTAGTACTGAGGCTTCAGAATCTTCTCAGTTTTCCTAAGGCAGCTTTGGCTTTATTTAGTCGGTCCCTTACATGAGTTTGTATCCCTGTTCTATTTATCATAAGTCCCAGTATTCTGCCGACCTCCGCATATTGGATCGGATGGTTGTCAAGGATGATGGGGTCCGGGTTTCTTTTCGCAATGTGTATTATCTGAAACTTTTGTTGGTGCTAATTTTCCATTGTTTCTCAAAGTTGTTTATGAGTTCAATTGCCGCCTTGGTCTTGTCGGCTAGTAGCGGCTTTGAAGGGCCCGGTTGGCATATTATTTGGGTGACATCGTCAGCGTATGTGATGCATTCTCCATGTTGGGGTTGGGGCAGGTCAGCTGTATATATGTTGAATAGAGTGGGGGAGAGGCAGCTTCCTTGTGGTACTCCACTTTTCAGTTCTATTACGTCACCCAAGTAGCTGCCGATATTAAGCCTAGCAGTTCTGTTGTCTATAAAGCTGCAGAGAGTAGCAGTAAATCTCTCAGGAAGCCCTAGTTCAGATATCTTATATTTTAGGCCTGTGTGCCACACTTTGTCGAAGGCTTTCGAGACGTCCCTAAGCACTATATTACACTGATCTTTTTTCGACACTGCGTTGGCTATATGCTGGTAGATCAGGGCTATAGCTGTATGGGCCCTCTGCTATATGCTCGTAGATCAGGGCTATAGCTGTATGGGCCCCTCTGCTATATGCTCGTAGATCAGGGCTATAGCTGTATGGGCCCTCTGCTATATGCTGGTAGATCAGGGCTATAGCTGTATGGGCCCCTCTGCTATATGCTGGTAGATCAGGGCTATAGCTGTATGGGCCCCTATATGCTGGTAGATCAGGGCTATAGCTGTATGGGCCCCTCTGCGGTTTCTAAACCCATGCTGCCTGGTGTTATACTTCCCTTCCTCTTCCATGTACTTCACAAGTCTCTGATTGATAATTTTTTCGAATATTTTACCTGGTACTTCGAGAAGGGAAATTGGCCTGTAGTTTTCAGTTTGGGTTGGGGGTTTACCTGGCTTGGGGGTTAATCTTATTGTGGCATTCTTGAAGTATGTGGGGAATAGTCCAGATGCAAGAGCTGCATTTAAGATACGTGTGTATCGACGGAGTGCAATCACTGGTAGGTTGGATAATACCATCTTATTTATCTTACTGTTGCCCGGCGCCTTGAGGTAGCCCACCCATCTATTATTATAAATAATAAGTATTTTATTATTCAAATAAATAGGTACATTTTTTTATTTTATGAAATATTTATTTTCAGATAAACAAACTCACGGAAATTATGTAATTATGTTGCAGTAAAGTAAATATTTATGTTCTATAAATAAATATAATAAATAAATATAAATAATATATAAATAAATATTTATATATTATATATATATAAATAAATATTTATAAATATTCATAAAAATTTTGAACAAATCAGTAATTGCAAAAATTTAGACTAGATTTATTTGTGTTGATTCCTATAGTAAATTAACTTCAAATTGCGATAAATTACTTAGATTTTTAAACAATAATTAGTAAGTAAGGATTCTGAATATAATTGTTGTCAGTCAGAATGATTATAATCGTGTTAAGTGATGATGAATATAATTGTTTTAAGTGATGATGAATATAATTATTGTGAGTGATCATGAATATAATTATTGTGAGTGATCATGAATATAATTATTGTGAGTGATCATGAATATAATTGTTGTGAGTCATGATAAATATAATTGTGTTAAGTGATGATGAATATAATTGTAGTGAGTAATGTATCTGTACTCACCTGGTTTGTACGAGTACTCATGTGAGTAACATGGCCTCGGGGGGATTCGAACAGGCATTCAAGGCAGCGGTGGCTGGAGCGGGTGTGAGCAGTGGAGCCTTGCAGGGCATGGTGCTGCTGAACCTGGAGCGTGGCGGGGAGATGGGGGCAGGTTAGTACCCCCTCACACACCTGTAGGCTTCCTTACACACCTGCAGGCTACCTCACGCACCTGTAGGCTTCCTCACACACCTGTAGGCTTCCTCACACACCTGTAGGCTTCCTCACACACCTGTAGGCTCCCTCACACACCTGCAGGGCATGGTGCTGCTTGTTACGACCCTGGGTTCCTCAGTGGAAACCAGAGGTCAAAAATGAGCTAAATAAACTGCCTTATAGTAGGGAAACGCATCACGAGGTGCACTTGTTTGTATCTTCCCTGCCAGACGTAAGACGATTTTTGTTTCTCAAAGAGCATTTAAGACTGAGCTTGGGGTTGATTATTAAATAATAAAATAGGCAACAACTATGTTTACTAATACTTTCTAATCAAGTGCAAAGTAAATCTGAGTAAACTTGGGATAGGATTGCTGTACGATTAGTTGAGCAGTCTACTGGCAGCGAGTGAGCTGGGAAGGAGATGTGAGAGGCTCTTTATTCTCTGCTGGCTGGCTGTGGTGAAAGGATCCTCCTCTCCCTCCTCTCGTTTCTTTATTTCTGTGGGCTGATACCCAGCTAAGTATACTGTGTAACGTTCTCATTGTCTGGCATAGGCGTGTTCTAATGTGTAGAGTATTATACTTTGTATGAATTAGGTGTTCCTAGTGTTTGTATTACTAGTTATTCTTAAAGGGGTCCCAGTGGAACCACGTGGTCTCCCTACCCTAAGCTGACTCAAGCTTCTAGTTCTTCACTAGTAGTACTTTACCCTAGCTTGTTCTGAGTGTAAACCTTGTATCCTGCTTAAGTGGACCAAGGCTTTTAACGTAAGATAGTGTGGTATAGTAATTATTATTATTGTTATTGGTGTGAATGTATATGGGGGGTTGTTAAGGGGTTAATAAATAAGTAAGTTAGTAAAGGAGTATCCATTTTTCCTGGGTAGGAGATCCATGATCAACCTCTAGGCTGACTATTGGTGTAATAACCCACTACAAGTTTATTTCTATATATTTCTGTATATTTCTATATAGTGGGGGCCGGGCCTTTGAGATCTCCCATATTTGGTAACCCTTAATGCTAACTACTGCCCCTACTTCCATTTAATATTAGAACCCCCATAGCAGCACCACCAATTTTATAACACTGCTGAACCTGGAGCGTCGGGGGGGGAGATGGGGGCAGGTTAGTACCCCCCTCACGCACCTGTAGGCTTCCTCACACACCTGCAGGCTTCCTCAGACACCTGCAGGCTTCCTCACACACCTGTAGGCTTCCTCACCACCCTCTCACACACCTGCAAGCTTCCTCACACACCTGCAGGCTTCCTCGCGCACCTGTAGGCTTCCTCACACACCTGCAGGCTTCCTCACACACCTGCAGGCTTCCTCTCCCCCCTCACACACCTGCAGGCTTCCTCACACACCTGCAGGCTTCCTCACACACCTGTAGGCTTCCTCTCCCCCCTCACACACCTGCAGGCTTTCTCACCCTCTCACGCACCTGTAGACTTCCTCACACACCTGCAGGCTTCCTCATCCCCCTCACACCTGTAGGCTTCCTCACACACCTGCAGGCTTCCTCCCACGCCTGCAGGCTTCCCCACCCTCTCACACATCTGCAGGCTTCCTCACCACCCTCTCACACACCTGCAGGCTTCCTTTCCCCTCACACACCTGCAGGCTTCCTCACCCTCTCACACATCTGCAGGCTTCCTCACCACCCTCTCACACACCTGCAGGCTTCCTCACCACCCTCTCACACACCTGCAGGCTTCCTCACCCCTTACACAGCAGAAAGTGAGGTAAACTAAGCAACTTACAGATATGGTGACCTAGTGTCATAGTTCATATATTAATTATCAATTAATATTATGATAACATTAATTATTAATTGATCATAATAATTATTATTATAATATATTAATTATCAATTAAATTATTAATATAATTGAATTAAAAAATGGTCCAACTTATGCTTTATTGAAAAGTAAAACCAAAAAATGTATCTAAGTTAAAAGTATCTTCCCACATTCTCAAAATATTTATTTTTAGCAGTGTTTTTATCCAATTATCAATTAATATTCATCATTGTTCTTATCAACACCATCAATTTATATTCTAGTTATTGTGATGAGGTCAAATTTTGCTACAATGTAGTTTGTATAATTTTTTTTTTACTAGTCTGCCAGAAATGCTGTCCGGGTTAGTGGCTTTTACAAGACTAAGAGCACCTATGTTATGTATTTTCGAAAGTCAATGTTTTTTTGTATATGAATAAATTAATAAATAAATAAATATTTATGCTGCACACCGCTAACTATATATTGTAAGCAGCGGTGGAAATATTACATACAATCACCCACATTTGTTATCTACAATTTGCTACATTAAAATCTGCCTGAAATGCTAATCTGAGCTAGTGGCTTTTGCAAGACTAAGAACATCTATGTTATGTATTCTCGAAAGTCAATGTTTTTTTTCTTGTATACAAGTAAATTAATAAATAAATATATATTTATCCTGCATACTGCCTACTATATATTGTAATCAGTGGTGGAAAAGTTACATACAATCACCCACAATTATTATCTACAATTAACAAATTAATGATATATGGTTAAAATTTTCTAATAGTAGATCAATTTTGAATGAAATATTTTCATATTTTTGGAACTTGATAAAGTGTTTTATAATGTTATATTACGAGTAAAGCGCGGGATATTTATATTGCCTCGATGGCCGAGTTTATTGGGCATCGCCACTCGCTCAGAATGAGTGCCACTGCCCAATAAACTCGACCCTTGGAGCAAAATACACACAAAAATTAATTAGCGTCACGGTGGGCCTGACGGCTGAGTGGACAGCGGTCGGTATTCGTAGTCATAAGGTCCCGTAATACAACTAGGTGAGCACAGAACCTGCACCTTCTGGACTGCCAGAAAGCATCTGACACAGTACCACATAAGAGGCTAGTGCACAAACTGGAGATGCAGGCAGGAGTGAAAGGGAAGGTACTCCACTGGATAAGGGAGTAACTAAGCAACAGGACACAGTGAGTCACCGTGAGGGGTGAGGTCTCGGAGTGGCGGGGAGTCACCAGTGGAGTCCCACAGGGATCAGTCCTTGGACCTATACATCATCAATGTTTGTCGATGATGCAAAAATTATGAGGAGGATCAAGACAGAGGATGATAGTAGGAGGCTACAAGATGACCTAGACAGACTGAGTGAATGGTCCAACAAATGGTTGTTGAAGTTCAACCCGAGTAAATGCAAAGTAATGAAACTAGGCAGTGGAAACAGGAGGCCAGACACAGGTTACAGAATAGGAGATGAAGTACTTAATTAAACAGACAGAGAGAAAGATCTAGGAGTTGATATCACACCAAATCTGTCTCCTGAAGCCCACATAAAGAGAATAACGTCTGCGGCATATGCGAGGCTGGCTAACATCAGAACAGCGTTCAGGAACCTGTGTAAGGAATCATTCAGAATCTTGTACACCACATATGTAAGACCAATCCTGGAGTATGCGGCCCCAGCATGGAGCCCGTACCTTGTCAAGCACAAGACGAAGCTGGAAAAAGTTCAAAGGTACGCCACTAGACTAGTCCCAGAACTAAGAGGCATGAGTTACGAGGAAAGGCTGCGGGAAATGCACCTTACGACACTGGAAGACAGAAGAGTAAGGGGAGACATGATCACAACCTACAAAATTCTCAGGGGAATTGGCAGGGTTGACAAGGATGGAATATTTAACACGGTTCGGTGTCACAGGAACAGAGTGGATGGTGACTGAGTGGACAGCGCTCTAGACTTGTGAACCTAGAGACCGGGGTTCGATCCCCCGACACCACTGGAAAAACAAATGAGCAGTTTCCTTCACCCTGATGCCCGTGTTACCCAGCAGTAAATAGGTACCTGCGAGTTAACCAGCTGTCACGGGCTGCTTCCTGAGGTGTATGTATGTGTGGGAAAAAAAAGTTAGTAACAGTTGATTGATTGACAGTTGAGAGGCGGGCCCAAAGAGCCAGAGCTCAACCCCCGCAAGCACATCCATACTTCACATCAATGACGGGACATAACTTTGATGTTTTCTTTTTTTCACAATCTTGTAAAGCCTATAACATTTTTTTTTTTTTTTTTTTTTTGAGATATATAGAAGAGTTGTTACATTCTTGTACAGCCACTAGTACGCGTAGCGTTTCGGGCAGGTCCTTAATCCTATGGTCCCTGGAATACGATCCCCTGCCGCGAAGAATCGTTGTTACAACCAAGTACACATTTTACTGTTGCGTTAAACAGAGGCTACAGTTAAGGAATTGCGGCCAGTAAATCCTCCCCGGCCAGGATACGAACCCATGACATAGCGCTCGCGGAACGCCAGGCGAGTGTCTTACCACTACACCACGGAGACTGCTAAGCTCTATAACATTTCTATAACATACAACGCATATAACATTTCCGGCAGCTCCTTAATCTAACAGATAATTTTAAGTAGGAAATTTGTAGCAAAATTTTAAAATTTAACAGGTACATTGTAATAAAAATTGAAGAAAATTAGTAGATATATTACAGTAAAATTTGAGGGTTATTAACAGGCGCATTGTAGCATAATTTGAGGATTATCAACAGGCGCATTGTAGCATAATTTGAGGATTATCAACAGGCGCATTGTAGCATAATTTGAGGATTATCAACAGGCGCATTGTAGCATAATTTGAGGATTATCAACAGGCGCATTGTAGCATAATTTGAGGATTATCAACAGGCGCATTGTAGCATAATTTGAGGATTATCAACAGGCGCATTGTAGCATAATTTGAGGATTATCAACAGGCGCATTGTAGCATAATTTGAGGATTATCAACAGGCGCATTGTAGCATAATGTGAGGATTAATTCTAAGTACATTATAGTAATCTACATTAAACATAAGGAGGATGATAATGATTGATGAATATTAATCCACCAAGAGGTGGCACGGGGATGAATAGCCCCATAAAACCATG